AATAATGGATGTTATGGGATTAAATACTTGATTGTATAATTGTATAATGTTATTATTCCTGAGTTAATGAAATTAATTATAAACTATTATAATAAACCCTGAACTTGGAATAATAATTAACTTGAATAATTGAAAATAATATTTAAAGTTGAAGAAATTAAAAGATGATTAATGGATAGACATTAAAGATGATGACGAACTTAAAAAGATATTGGAATAAATTTAATGAAAGATCTGATTCCCTTTCTAAAATAATTGAATCAGTGGTGCCTTCTAAAATAAGGGAACAACAGTTTTACCTTCGGGAAAGGACTATAAACTCCTTAAAAGAACCGTAAAGTCACTCTATCAGGTAGTTCTTGAGAAAACAAAGGACCACCGGTGACACCGTAACAACTTCTTCTCTTTCCCCTTCTCCTTTTCTTCCTTCTCCTTCTCTTCCTTCCTTTTCTTCTCTTTCTGTCTCTTGCCTCTTTTCTTTCCCTTCTTCTTCTTCCTCTTCCTCCTTCGCTTCTACTTCAAATTCTTCTATCAAGAATTTAATTTTTTCTTTGGCATTTATTTTCTCTAGTATTTTTTCATATAATGACAAATATATTCGTCTTTAATCTGAATTGAATATATGTTTGGGTTAAAAATATATTTAATAACAAATATTGTGAATGCCAATTGCTCCTCAGATGGACGTTTCGACCAACTTCTTTGAAGAACTTGAGAACTGAATTGGTCATCATTAAATTCTTGATATGATTTTCTTATTTCGTATGATTCTTTCCAGCTTTTTATGGCATCTGCCGAAAATTTTGTAGTAATCTTCGGAAGACCTTTTTTTTCAAAAGTTGTAAAAATGACCTTTTGAATCTTATCAGCAATTGCCCCTCTTTTGCTACGATGTTTGAATTTTAACTAATTAAAATTTTAATATTTATTTTATATATTTAGTATATTTAGATATAATCAAAAGAAAAAATAAATTAATTTTATACCTTAGTAACAATTTTTGTATCATAATAAAATGTCCAGCACCTTTGATCTCAATTTTTGAAATAATCTGAAAATTCAGCAAATGCAATATGACTCGCTGCATCCTTTAATTCGTCTTTATTCAGATATATTTTTTTGGTAATTGAGTAATTTGCAGATGCGTTTACTAATCTCTAAATGAAAAAATAGTTAAACTATTAGTTTAATACATTTTTAATTTAGAATAAATATAAAATATTTACAGTAATAAATTCGTCCGTTGACATATAATCTCCAACTCCACCCTTCTCCAGAAGTTTTCGAACATTAGTGATTTCATCTCCTAATCTTTGAATAATTTCATTTTGCTCGTCTAATTGATGTAGCAAAATTTTAATATCTCGACGAGTAACCGGACCGCCATCTAAAATAAAAATAAATAATTTAATTCAAATATACTTTAATTAATATATTTTTTAATTTAAATACCATCATCATCATCTTCTCTTCTTCTTTTTCTCGACGAAGAAAGAGATACTTTCACCTGTTTGCATTGATCTCTGATTTCTTGAGTAGCAGCTGTCTCTCCTCCAGAGGTTCCAGCCTTACGGAATTCTAATTACTGCAAACAGTCGAAATCTGGTGAGTTTCGTGGTGTCAGTGAGCTTTCTCTAGAAGATATTTCAAATATTTTCGTAGGTTGTCATACATTTTCAGATCCTTCTGGTATGTGCATTGGTATGGATATACTTTTTCTTTGAATTTTTTTAAGAGATTCTTTAGGATAAGGACTGGTTCTTCCTTTTCCTTTTTTTGATCCTCTTAAGATATTCAAAAAAAAATCCTGTTCTTTATTTTCTTTTTTTGCTTGGCAGGAAAGAAAAGACATTTTAATAATAATGAATTTCGAAATTATACGAATTAATCAAGATTTTTTTTTTTTTTTAAAAAACAAATTCAAGTTCTTGCTTCTTACAAAAGAAAATTCAGCGAATTTTTATACAAGTTTACATAATACATAATGAATTTTATTAATTTTATTAATTACAAATATCTTGATACATTATTTACTTAAGTATTATATTTTCTAATATTTCTATATAATACATAGATATTTATAAATATGATATTTTAATTTGATTTGTTTGAAACTCAATTAGTGAAAAATTATTTACTTAAGTATTATATTTTCTAATATTTCTATATAATACATAATATAATATTTTAATAAACAAATTGTCATGTAACACAGAACTGATCTTGTTTATTTATTAATAGACGACTAATAAATTGCTATGTAACACAGAACTGATCTTGTTTATTTATTTTGTTTATTTATCTGAGACATTTTTTCACGCTTTATCCACTTCACTCATGGTTAACAATTTTCTTCAAACATTTTCAAAATTCATGCGTATTTAAAATATACTTTATTTAAAAAAGAAAGAAAAAAAATAACCTTTAATAATAATTTCTTAGTCCTCAAAAGTTATCACTTAAAAAAATTAATTCAGAACTTATTCAAAAATAAGTACATGTTTGCCTCCATTTATATTCTTTCAAATATTTTTGAAAACTTATTTATTTCTTTAAATTTATTCATAATCATAATTTCTTATTTGCTTCATTTATAGTAAAATAAAGAAAAGAATAATTTTTAATATTCCGAACGTATTCGAAAAATAAGTATATGTTTGCCTCCATTTATATTCTTTCAAATATTTTCAAAAAAAATTTATTTTTTTAAATTTATTCAAAATTATAATTTCTTATTTACTTTATTTATAGTAAAATAAAGAAAATAATAATTTTTAATATTCTGAATATGTTCGAAAAATAAGTACTGTACATATTTGCCTCTATTTATTTTCTTTCAAATATAATTTAATTCTAATTGTAATTTTCTTATTTACTTTATTTATTTAAAATTTTTTAAAAGTTTACAGATAAGAACGTAAGTAATATTTTTCATTATACTTATACTCTTAAATATTTCGCACATTTATATAATATTTTAAAAATAATCTTTAATTTATTAAATAAATACAGAAATATTGCACTTATTATCAAAAGTAATATAGAATATAATTATATTTATATAGAAAATAAAGATTATTTTTTGTAATATTTTAAAACTTTTTGTAAATATTTAATAAAATAAATAAATAATAAATTTTAAATTTAAATATAAAATATATACATATATTGTTGACACTATTTTTTTATTTTTTATATATTTTTATTACAACGTATTTTATTATTATTATTTTATTTTATTATTATAGTATTTCATATATGTATTATCTCATTTATTTTTAGTATAGTATATTTATATTCTAGTATCACCTTATTAGTATTTGTGTAACAGAGGTAAAATACCTCAGATATGTAACATTACGCGATGCGAGGTAAAATACCTCTGGTAGCTACCGGTAAAATACCTAGGTAAATTACCTTTAGTATTAATAATCGCGCTGGAATGTTACGGAAACTTCCGGAGTTTTCTTGAAGTTAATAATCATAGTTCGCGATACGGTCCAAATTTCATATAAATAGAAGCTGTTTCTGCTCCTCTTGAAGGAACAGTTGACATAGAATTGAATATTCTGATAACTCGAAATAAAATACTGTTTATAAACTGATATCTTTCTTGGTGAATTATATAGTTTATATTGTGACTTTCTTAGTGAAAACCCTCTTGTTATTTGCCTTGCTTTGTGATCTTGGCAATTCTGTTATTATTACTCTCTTCTTGGTGATAAGAGTAATTGTTAGTTATAATACCCTGCTTCGTGATCTCGGTATTATAGTCACTTAATAATTAACCCTGCTTTGTGATCTAGGTTAAGTTATTAAGTTCTTTGTGAATTTGTTTAGTTTCTTGGTGAAACTTTGTTGTCTTTGTGACTTAGCTAGTAAATCCCTTACAAAACCTCACACCTTAGCCTCTTTCGACCAAATCCGCCTTACCCAAAATCCTTCTTATCATTACTTTATCAATAGTAATACCCGTCCGGCTATAGTTAATTGTTATAGTGTTTAAAGTCTATAAATACAATTTCCACTATTAGTCGCTTAGTTTTCTTTGGTTTCTTTAGAAGGTAAACCAAGGTTAACAATTTGGTGGTGACTGTGAGATACGATTAATTAGTTTGGTAGTTACTCCCCCCTTTATTCTTGCTAGTACCCTTAAATTAGTATAATTATTTTATATGATTTCTTCTGTTCAAATCGAAGAATTAAATAAAGCTATTGAAGAAGTAGCAGCACTTTATAGTCAAAAAATTAGAGAAATAGTTGACCGAATTCCCGCATCTGAAGATCCTTATTGGAGATTGTCCGATTTACAAGAGTTAACTAAAATCAAAAATCAATTGAACTTACTTTTTAAGATTCGTGACAACTGCGTACAAGTTCTCGAAGATTTAGAATTACTTAAAGATAGTTTTTGCCTATTAAATTAAAAGTGGCAGATCAACAACCAAATCGACCACATAGAACAGTAACTCAACACCAGCGTAGTTTATCCCAACCTGATATTAATCCACCAGCAATCCCTGCACGACCTCGTTATCGAT